AACATGGAACTTAAAAAAAAAATATTAATATTACCGAGAGCTATACACCGTGATAAAGGGAACTGAACAATACCATCTAATAGATCATAAAAAATAGTTATAAATAACACAGGTACAGCTGCTGCAGCCTCATAATAACCACAAAATGATGAAAATATCCACAACACGCTCACACTTTTTTTTTTAATTGACACCGAGTGCTAATAAAGGGAGGATACAATGAATGGAGGGTAAAAAGGTTAGGTTTGGATTTCAGGTTTGCATGATAGCCTGGTTTGGGATTCTGTGTCTGGAGGGTGTGTTGTTCTCGGTAACAAATACCAAAGACCCCTTCTAAGCTCTAATTTGGCATACTATATGTGTAGGAGGCTTGCTGGTTTGGTATTGTTTTAGTTTCCCACTGCCATGCAGTACAAGGTAAAATGCAATGGCACTATAATAATCAAAGAGAAAATACACTCACAAATACGTGAAATAATCTGCGTCAGTGAAAAATGTAAAAAAAAAAAAAAAAATAAGAAAACAGGTTGCAACCCATGCCATGCAGCCTGTAACTCTACAACTGGGTGGGGGTCCAGGGGCCAAGCCCCATATAGGGAAATATGGTGATCAGTTGGGTGTCTAAGGGTGAAGCCCTTGGGTTAGAGAGGATTTTGGTTCATACAGCAATGCCTGTGGATTTACCAGAAATGGTAGGAGTTAAAGGGCTTAATCTCAGAGGGGTAAGGTCACTTCATAAACATTACCAATACCTTTATTTACATCATTTGCATTTGAAAATAACAAGAGATTCATGCATATTACAGCTTGGATAATTGAAAGAAGGAATGAAAAATGGAAGACTGGGTGGCTGTGTGAAACTAAAAAATTACCACTGTCTTTTGCTGGAACACGAAACATGAAAAACAAAACATCGCTTGAGGAGGATTCATTCTGAGGAATGACCAATCAATATGTAGTATAAGGTAGCGGCAGAGTTGGGTAATAAAACCTACATGAAATGATAGAACAATACAACCCAAGACAAAGTTCTGCTATGGCAATGTGTGTGCAAATGCTTCCCAAGGCTGCTATACATAAAAGAAAAGAGAAGATCCCACCCCCCAGTCAATAAGTAGAACAGGGTAGTGGGTTACTTTCGAAATGATTTTCATATTTTTCTGCATGATATCAACTGCTTTCAACAATTCTGGGCATTGTTCCTTCTTCAAATGAATCGTTGAGGAGATATGATCACCATCTCCATCGACAATCTTGATCTGAAAGTCCCGATAGCAGGGGATGGCATGAAGTATATCAAGGAAATTATGGGGTTGTTAACCCCTTCATGACGGGTGAGTCCAATAGGCGTGAAATAAACCGCTTGAAATGTGGCGTGCGGCTGTACACCGCGGCAGCTCGCCAAAGCACGGCAAGCCAGTGATTCGGCCTCATGACCAAACTTCTGCACTCAAAGTCAGCGCGCTGCCATTGATCGCCAGAGCGTAGAATTTTTTTTTTGTTTTGTTTTCTTCACCCATCACCGTTGGGTTAAACAAAACGTCCTAACCCTACATCCAACCTAACCTAACACCGTGATATATATTCCCTAGCCAGGGGTTTAGGCATATATATTACTCTGCCACTGCCTTATACTACATATTGTCCGAATGACCTTTGCCAACGCATTTGTTTAAACTTTATAACAAAAATGCAAGAACTATAATAGCAAGGAGTTTGAGGAATGGCGAGCAGAAATATTTCGTATCAGTTAATTATAACAAAGTACTACGATGATCTATAAATCATGTGTATTCACCTATTTCTTAGATATTTATCTCTCTATCTATCTCTCTATCTATCTATCTATCTATCTATCTATCTCTCTATCTCTCTATCTATCTATCTATCTATCTATCTATCTATCTATCTATCTATCTATATAAATCTGGATCTACCGCTAAATCATCCTAAGCAAAAAAAATTACGATAACCAAATGTAATACACAAAGAAAAACAAAAAACTACTCAACGAACCACAATTACACACTAAAAACAATACTCGTCTCTTCGTCCTTTTCTCCAAAAAATCTCCAACCAGAAAACAAAACCGACTCTAAAAACACTTAAAAAATAACCAACTAAAATAAACTAAAAACTAAAATAAACTAAAGACTACAACCAACTACAGACTAAAATAAACTAAAGACTAAAGACTACAACCAACTAAAGACTATAAAATCCCAACCTTCTCCGTCGCCACAGTTATTCCGATTTCCTCCATGGCTCCTCTTCTTCTAATTCTTCTTCTTTCTTCTTCTTGTGACACTTCGGCTTCGCTTCTTTACAAACCTTCGACTTCGAGGGTGAAAACAGGCAAGCGTTCCCGTAGCGGATTCGCGGATTCATGAGATCGCCGTTCTTTTAGGGGAAAGGCCATGGAAGAAAATTAATAAAGTTGTGTAAATGGGTGGATTAGTGGAAATAGATGGATGAATGGGACGGTGAATTGATGGGAAAATTATTAAATGGTTAACAAGATTTTTTTTTATTTCGTAGGTTTATATAAGGAGAAGGCGGATTCGCGGATTCATGAGGTCGCCGTTCTTTTAGGGAAAGGCCAAGGAAGAGAATGAATAAAGTTGTGTAAATGGGTGGATAATACGGTGAATTAGTGGAAATAGATGGATGAATGGACGAATGAACGGTGAATTAAGGGGAAAATTATTAAATGGTTAACAAGATTAGTATTTTTTATATTTCATTTCGTAAGTTTATATAAGGAGAAGGCGGATTCAAAAGTTAATGTTTCGTGTTGTAAACTTTTAATTGGATAATTAGATAACAATAAATGAAAGAAATGCATCAAATGGATTAACAATCAATCTATCGCTTGATTATAGAAAATACCGGTGTCACTTTAATTTCTCAAAAAATTCACTGTGTCACGCACGGATTCATAGGATATAACATTCACTTCAAATCCAACTTCGTAAAAATATCGTACAAAGAAAATGAAATATGAATTTACAAACACTTCATAAAGCCAATGGAAAAACAATGGAAAAAAATGTTGATCTTAACTTAAAAACACGTACGCATAACGTGTTTTATTCATGGCAATTATAAAGATATTCCCTTTTCAGTCAATATCATGAATACAGTAGATATTATATCACACTCTAATCCGTATATACAGATCGTATGTTAAAGGGATGAACACCATACAAATGCTGATGTCATTATTACAGAACGGACAATGTGGTATTAGTATAATGATAATAATGATAACAGTAAAAATGCTTCGGACAAGCTTTGTGGTACTGTTTATATAGTAGTGATAGAAAAGTAATAAGACAGAATATACTGCTAGCAGTCATGATGACATAGACACTACTACTACTACTACTACTACTACTAATGATAATAATAATAACAATGATAATATTAGTGATAATGATAGTATTGATAATAATAGTAGGCCTTAATAATGGAGACAATATTAGTAATAATAACAACAATAATGATGATAAAGGTGATGATAACAGTAATAACAGTGATAATGATAATGATGATGATCATGATAATAATGATAGCAATAATAATGATATTGATGATAAAATCGATGATATAATAATAATGATAATAATGATTATAATAATAATGATAATAATGATAATAGTAATAATGATTATAATAATAGTAAAAAAATAATAACAATAATATTGATAATGATAACAACAATGTTAATAATAATAATAATAATAATAATAATAATAATAATAACAATAATAATAATAATGATAATGATAATAATAATAATAATAATAATAATAATAATAATAATAATAATAATGATAATAGTAATAATAATAATAATAATGGTAATAATAATAATAGTAATAATGATAATAATAATAGTAATAATGATAATAATAACAGTAATAATGATAATAATAATAGTAATAATAATAATGATGATGATAATACTACTACTACTAATAGTAGTAATAATAATAATGATAATAATCGTAAACATTATTGCTATTATTATCATTATCATTTTTATTATTATTATTATCATCATCATCATGATTATTATGATTATAATAATAATAACAATAATAATGATACTACTACTACTACTACTACTACTACTACTACTACTACTACTACTAATGATGATAATAATAATAATAATAATAATAATGATAATAATAATAATAATAATAATAATAATAATAATAATAATAATGATAATTATTATTATTATTATTATCATCATTATTGTTACTACATTGACTATTATCATCGTTATCATTATCATTATCATTTATTAGTATTATCATGATCGTTATCGTCAATATCATTATCATAATTATGACCATTATTCTTACTGATGTTTTTATTATTAATTATTATAGTCAACGGTTCTCAAAGTCTGATGTTATTCAAACAGGGATTTGTCAAACCTTTAGATGTAGATATAAAGAATTAAATAATAAAATATGAAATAAGGTAATTAATATGTTTAATATAATAGATTAATTAAGGATGATAATGGACGTAGATTGAAGCTCGAAATAACCAAAATAACCAAATAACCAAATTAGCTGTTAAAATAACCAAATCAGCTGTTGGCAACACCAACAACCACCGTGCCTAAGACCACGTTCAAAGGTGAATGGAGGAATAAAATAGTTAATATCTCGTGTAATATTTATCATAGAGTTTATCTTTTTTGTCAACATTTACATTGTTGTTCTTGTTGTCTTGTGGTAAAGGGAGAATGCGAGACACATATTAGTTTAGGAGAAATGTGTGATTTTAATGTCAGGCTTGTTTTTTCACGTTTTCACGGTAGTTGTCACGTTTTGGTTTATTTATCAGTTCTCTTATCTCTGTCAGCCGGATTTTTAAATGATTTCAAACTGTTCTTGTTGATTTGTCTAAAGAAACTGTATTGAATCCCCCGATATGGACAGAAAATAGATTTTATAGGCCTATGTAGTTTTTGCTGTTACTACCTGTTGTGTAATGAGATAAGAATCTAATGGTTTACGTTTTCTAGTGAGTTATGACTGAGAATCAAATGTAAATCATGATAATAGTAAAGATGATAGGAATTTAATCAATTTATGATAAGAATCTTATAAGAATCATCACAATAAATGACTATGTATAAGGATTCGTAATATAATGTCTTTTGCTTGTCCTTCTGGGAGTTCTGGTAGCACGTGCATACTAAAGAATTCTTGAAGTCTGCTATAAAGACTACTGAATCAATCACTATACTGTCTAATGCAGTATAGTGAAAGCAAAGAATCCTCCACGTGTTCTTGGCAGGAGAGAGCATTGGACAGACTTGGCATTGGGCACTCCAGCATGGTGGTCGTGGGCTCTGCCCTAATTTTATTATGTACCCTTATGTATATTATTTTACTGTGAATATAGTCACAATGTAATAATAAACATAATTTAATAGTTTAGGTGAGGTTCTCCTGGGGCACAAGAAGGTCATATTCTTAAGGGTTAACTAAGAATAATGGGAAATTTTTCATGTTAGTACAACCTATTCCTTGGAGCAAAATGAGCAAATCATATTCTATTGTGGCAAAAAAAAAAAAAAAAAAAAAAAAGTGTGTGAGAATGAATAGTTCAACTTGATATGTTATTAGGCATAACCTATAGATCCTATTTCATCAGATATATTTTTGTAATATGATATTAGACAACACATCTTTGTACTGTAATTTTTCATTTTATACAGCTCTTTTCTTTGTGATTCCCAGTGAATTAATGCTCATTGTAAAAAACCCAGTGAATTAATGCTCATTGTAAAAAAAAACAGTGAATTAATGCTCATTGTAAAAAACCCAGTGAATTAATGCTCATTGTAAAAAACCCAGTGAATTAATGCTCATTGTAAAAAAAAACAGTGAATTAATGCTCATTGTAAAAAACCCAGTGAATTAATGCTCATTGTAAAAAACCCAGTGAATTAATGCTCATTGTAAAAAACCCTGTGAATTAATGCTCATTGTAAAAAACCCAGTGAATTAATGCTCATTGTAACTCAAATCAGTTAATTACATTTTCCCAGTGGTTATTTGAGTTTATTATTGGTCTTTCAGAAGTGTAGCAACATGGATGAGCGTGTGGAGAGAATAAAGAACAAGATCACTGCCTACCCTGATTTTCCCAAACCGGGCATTCTCTTCAGGTAGTATATTTTCTTGTGTTTTATGTGCGTGCGTGTATTCTTGGTGTATTGGGATGGTTTGTATTTTTCGTTAAGATGTTATTTCTGACATTGAAGTGTATTGTAATATTTCATTTTGGTTCATTATTTAAAATTTAGTTTTGTTTGTATAGTGTAAAATTATATTGTAAAATTTATTTTGGTATTGTCCTTTTTTTCTTTTTGGTTTATTTATTCTGTTAATATAATTCCATTATTAGTTATTATATGTTTATAGAGAAAGTGTGTCAAGACATTGACTCATGTTTAGTTTCAATGAAAGGTGAACAGGGAGTTTTAACTATCTTGCCAGAATGAGTCAAGAGTCAAGGGCTATCTGTGTCTCCATTAAAATGAAATTTTGTCCTCATAATAAAGCAGTTATTCATCTTCATAACATGAGACCTTGCAAACATTTGCCAGGTTTGATGTATATATATATTCATTTAGGAGACTTAAATATTGGAACACTAGTCATTTTAAGTCACCGGTAACTAGTGTAATATCAGAATGAAATGATAAACATCATTTAAAGCAGCCCTGTGCAACCTGCGGCCCAAGGGCCGCATGCGGCCCTCAAAGGCCTTCATTGCGGCCCTTTCTCCTAAAAATAAATAAACTATAGTGCGGCCCTCAGAGAGAGAGAGAGAGTGAGTGAGTGAGTGAGTGAGTGAGTGAGTGAGTGAGTGAGTGAGTGAGTGAGTGAGTGAGTGAGTGAGTGAGTGAGTTACCAAGTAGAGTCCACCGAAAGTTTGACAAAATTCATATTCTCGTGTACCAGTATCACCTTTTCTTTTCAAAAATGAATCTGGTTAAAAACAAGTATAGATCTTCACTTACTGATGAACATTTGGAAAGTACCCTGCGTGTAGCCACATCATCCATACAGCCTGATATTGATGAGTTGGTGTCCCAAATGCAACATCAACCATCTCACTAGGGTAGCCTTTCATTTGCAAATTAATGCTCAGGAAATGTCTGTTTTTTATAATAATTCTTGTTAATGATCCCAGTCAACCAACAATAACTAATTATTTATGTTTGTACATTATAATAATAAGGTACGGTAGCCTTTCATTTGCTAATTTATAGTAAGGAAAATGCATTTGTTTCGGAGAATTCTTATTTTTGTGATCCCAATATAAATAAAATCAGTAACAAAATTATTTCCTATCTTTATCAGTATAATCTCACATAATATGTCTTCGACCGTAGCAAATAACATGAAATAGTAAGGTTATGTGGCCCTCCATACCAACAGAGTTGTGACTAGTGGCCCTTTGGGAAAAAAGGTTGCACACCCCTGATTTAAAGAGTAAAAGTTTCAGTTCATACCCTATTTTCATTATTTTTCTTTGTTTATTGTATCTGCTTCTTTCAGAGACATCTTTTCAGTCCTCCAGACTCCACCTGTATTCCATGATTTGATGGCAGTTCTCGAAGAAAAGGTCAAGTCAGTCTGCCCTGACGTAGATATTATCATGGGCCTAGATTCAAGAGGGTTCTTATTTGGTGCTCCGCTAGCTCTGTCCCTGAACAAGCCTTTCGTTCCAGTGAGGAAGAGGGGGAAATTGCCCGGAGAATTGAAGCAGGTCTCTTACACCCTGGAGTATGGAACGGTAAGGAATGAAGCACTGTCATGGTCTTTATTTGTTTGGTATTTCATTAATTTTTAAATTCTATAAAATGCAGGTTTATCAGAGCATTGCTTAATATTATTACATAATTGGGAGATTGGATATCTAATATCAGAATGTAATATGTTTATGATTTGTCTTAATCCAGTGGTGTTGTGAAATTGCAAAGTCCACTTTTCATGCTATTGCTAAGTAAGGGACAAAATTTTCTGAGGGAATGATGTAGGGATGGGTGGAATAGTCTTCTAATTAGCTAACAGAAAGATCCTCCCCTGCTTGGTATGTGCCAGATGTAACTTGTATTAAGAATCTGAGTGTTTATTAGCCTCCATGACAAAATGGGCTGGAATGAGTAATCATACGGATTTTGGGTAATGGCATATACAGTTCTACAGAAATTTTCTTCCTGAAGTAAAGTTTAGAGATGTATTAATATGTAAATCTTTTTAGGAATAATTATATTAAGAAATAGAACTTGGAATATTATTAAAGTAATTATATTAAAGCTCCAAAGCAGTGTACTATTAAACATGTAGTAAAAATACATGAAGTCTTTGTATTACTACTACTTTTATATGGTGAACATTTTTCACTTCTGATTTCCCTTTGGTTGGTCTGATTGAAAAGGCCTTTGTACACATTCTTAATCATTTTATGGACGATAGTCATATACTATATAGCTAATGCTTATTGAATTCTTGGTTCTCTATTTATTTTTTATGATATATGTATTGATACCCTGTGTCTCATTTTGTACTGACTTTGTTTTCAGGATGTCTTTGAGGCTCAGGCATCTAGCATAAGGCCAGGTCAGAAGGTGGTAATTGTTGATGACCTTCTTGCGACAGGAGGTAAGCATAGATGCACCTTACCCTTTAATGATTAGTGTATTTTACAATAGTCCTCTAATAGTTTGAGCGGTTTAAACAGGCCAAGAGATTTTCTAGTCATTCTTTCTTTTTTTTTCACTGCATATTGCTGTATGGTATATCAATTTCTCTTTTTGCTAATAAGGGAATTGGTGGCAGCCTTACTCTCCAAAAATGTTATATGTTTACCGCTATCTGCTTTTTTGTGTATTTTTGTTGGCAGATATTTTCTTATATAAAAGAAATGTTATTTTCTTTAGGCCGAATTATATTAGATTTTTGTTCAGTCCATCTAAATCTTTGGCATTATCAAGAAATCATCTTCATAATAACAGATTATGGTTTCATATACCTGCTGCTTGTATGACTTTCAGAGCGTTAAATAGGAAATAACTTTTTAACTATAGATTTTGGAACGAGATAGTTTCATGGTCTAATTATAAAATAGTCTGATTTTAGTCTATAGTCTGTCATTTTTTTCTCTTGTATTTTTTCCACTAGTGTTAAAGTTTAGTTATAGTCACTGGAAGAAAATATGTTAAAAGAGAAAAGTAAATATTTTTATATTTAAATCTGGACAATACATATATCTATATATTGTGTTAACTTTGCTTCATATATTAACTTTATCACTTTGAACTGAAGTGTCAAGGAATTTGGGAGTTACAGAATGGGTCACTTCTACTTTGTCTAATATTTTATGAAGGAACTGAAAGGAATTTATTTTGATTTACAGGTTCAATGAAAGCTGCCTCTGAATTAGTGAAGGAAATGGGGGGTGTTGTTGCACTGTGCCTTGTATGCATTGAACTTGCAGATTTGAAGGGGAGAGACAGACTGAAAGATCCATGTGAAGCTATTGTGAAGTATTAAGGTTTTTTTTTTCAGAAATCCATAGTAGAAAGTGTTTGACTAGGAAATTTTAAAGTATTTAAATTGCCAGCAATGAACTGCTAAAAGTTTGATATTGATAATTATTTTGCGTAAATGTTGTACTAGGAAACTCGCATATATTGCAAAAGAAAGCCTCTTTACATATATATTTTTATTATATATATCTATTCATTTCTAGTAAAAATGGCCAGTTTCTTTCTCATTACTAAATTACATATATATGCACCCCATCCTGATTGCTTGAGTGTTTCCTTAATTAATTATTAACACTCACTTTGTTATAGAACCTTAACAAATGTCATGAGAGGTGCAGCAAAGCAAAAGATCTGTAACAAAAACTACTCTTTCTTTTAAAGTCTCTTAATTGTGAAGTTTGGTATGCATAGTTTGAACGAACATGGAAGCAAAACACATACCATATATGTTCTTAGTTCAAGGTGTACTTTATATTAAATTTATCAATGTTCAGGTAATGCAGTCTTGCACTGTTTGATTGAAGCACAGTTCTAGTCTCAGGTGTCTGTTTTTAAGACAAAGATTTCTTAAGAACTTTTTAACAACACATGTACAACAACTGTTTATACACTACTTGTGATAAAAAGTAGCATAGGTTGTATATCAGTTCACGTGAATTTGTTTTGATTTGTAGATTCAACTTTCACTCAATTGCTTGATGGAACAGTAAACAGAAATGGATTTAGTTTAATACAAAGCTTGATATGATGTTAATGCAAACCTTTATATAGTTATTATTATTATTGTTATTTTTATTATTATTATTATTATTATTATTATTAATATTATTATTATTATTATTATTATTATTATTATTATTATTGTTATTGTTATTGTTATTGTTATTGTTATTATTGTTGTTATTGTTGTTATTATTGTTGTTATTATTATTATTATTATTATTATTATTATTATTATTATTATTATTATTATTATTATTATTATTATTATTATTATTATTATTATTATTATTATTATTATTATTATTATTATTATTATTATTATTATTATTATTATTATTATTATTATTATTATTATTATTATTATTATTATTATTATTAATTATTTTTATTATTTTTATTATTAATTTCAATGTCATAATTGTTATTCTTATTCTTATTCTTATTGTTATTCTTATTATTTTTCTTATTCTTATTCTTATTATATTCTTATTCTTATTGTTATTCTTATTATTTTTCTTATTCTTATTCTTATTGTTATTTCTTTTATTCTTATTCTTTTTATTCTTATTCTCATTCTTCTTATTATTCTTATTAATAATAATGATATTGTTATTATTATTATTATTATTATTATTATTATTATTATTATTATTATTATTATTATTATTATTATTATTATTATTATTATTATTATTATTATTATTATTATAATTGTTATAATTATTTTTGTTGTTGTTGCTTTTGTCATGTCGTTAATGTTATTGTTATTATTGTAAGTGTCATTATCATTGTTAATGTCAATTCTTATTGTTAATTATTATGTTTATTATTGTCTGTAACTTATTATTGTGAGCCACAGTGGTCAGTTATTGTATACGTGCACTTCTGCAGTCAGTGAGTTGAAAGATGAAGTAGTTATTCATTTCACAGATTTTGATGTCTGCTTCTGTGATTAAACAAATTAAGTTATGGTACTTAAAGTGAAATGATTTATCTGATGATATTTTCAATTTAGAGTGAAAATAAAGTAATGAACATTAATGACAAAGCATCTTGCAGTGTTCACAAGATGCCAGAAAAAGTCAATAAGGTACTGGGAGATTTGACATCCTCTTTGATTCTTGTTCACATCTGACCTGAGGACTTCGCTTTCATGTCTCACTTGAAGATCAAACCCATAAAGGTCATAATATTTTGTATTGGTCTTGAAGATTGAATCCATAAGGTATTTTGGAACCTATTTCATCTTACTTTTTCAGCTGTTAAAGCACATGTGAAACCTTGTACTTAAGAATGATATTTTCATGGAATTTTCTTAAAGAGAATAACTTATGGGTTTACCATACGTGTGTTCATGTTACATTTTTAATGATTTTAAAGGATTTTATTACTTGGGTTGACTTAATTTTTACTACTTGCATATTATTATAGAAGATTATGGAGATTGGTGAAAATTTTAACCATAAACAGTCTGTGGATTACTGAAAATTAATAACACAAATTTAACTAGGTTGTTTTTTGTTTTTAAGGTTAAGATATTACATAATAGTATACTTATCTATATTGTTAAATTATCAGTGTTGTTTTTGCATTTAAAAATTTTACATACTGGTATACTTAACCACTTTGTTATATATTATCGATTATGGTTATCAGAATGTATCTTGAATAGTGTCACAAACAATTTATTTAATGTGGTGTACAAGCCATTTTGGGAGATATTTGATAAAGCTATCAGTGATACTTACATTCCAGATTGTTAGACTAAAATTGTTATTCTTATTTTTGAATTGAAGATGTATTTGTTCCCACATTGTTACTATATACTTGTTTTTAATAAGCAGTTTCTTTTTGTCTTTAATCTTGTGTTTGGAAAAAAATACAGAAGTGTTTGTTTTGATGAGTTTTTGTAATCCTACTGATTAACTGATTCATTTTGAAAAACATGAGGTTAAATCTCATGGAAATATTTATTAACCCATTCGTGCCGGGTAAGAATGAACAAAAAATGGGCAAAATGCTGTGCTCATTTTCTATATTTTTAAATGAAATTTCTCTACACTAGATGGCTCTGCCTTACCTGATTTCACCTTTACTTGAATTGGCGGGAAAATGTATTTTTACTAGTGTTATGAATATCGATGGTTATTTTTATTATAAACATTATAATTACTATAATGTTATAAACATTAGTAACAGCAAAATAAGATAATGCAAAATAATTTCGTAAATTAAAGAAAAGGGTAAACATGCGAGACAGGCAGTACAAGTACAAGTGTAGCCATCTATGTGCGAAAACAATTAAACAAGTAAACTCACAGTGAGCCTGTCACGTATACGTGACGGCCGGCATGAATGGGTTAATATGTGTGTGTGTGCGCGCGTGCACATGAGCGTGTGTGGGTGAGCATGTGCATGTGTGTGTGCATGTGTGTATGTATCATCATCATCATTTGGGAGCTAACGCTGGCAGGGGTGCATAGCCGCATCCACCCTTCTCTTCCACCTACGAGGGTCCCTCATGGTGAGCTGCCAGGCAGGGGCCTGGCCCATCTCTAGCTCCTTATGACAGGTTTGATCGATCTGCCCAAGCCATGGCTTTCTTGGTTGTCTCACAGTTCTCCTCCACCCAGGATTGTCTCGGACAGAGACAACCTGGTGGGCAGGGTCATCCTGGGGGAGTCGAGCCATGTGGCCGTATAGCCTGAGTTGGTGATCACGGATTGTGCAAATAACAGGTCCTGTACCGATCTCACAGTGCAGCCATTGGTTGGACACATGGTCCCACCAACTGTACCCCATGATCCGGTGCAAGGATCTGTTACAAAAGGCATCAAGACGAGAATCCAAAGCACAAGATAGTGTCCAAGTTTCACTACCATATAGTAAAACTGGCTATATCAGTGCCTTGAAAACACAGATACAGGTACCGGCCTCTCCAAATGCTCTTGTCGAGAGATTTCATGACCCCTGCTGCCAGGCCAATCTGTTTACTGATTTCCTGGTCTGACAGCCCAGAGTCGTGAACTGCACTACCAAGGTATATAAAACTCTCTGTGACTTCAATGTTTTCACTGCAAGCACGTACTGACTGCACAGGATCTCCTAGTAGTGCCCCAGATGCTTCGCTTCATTGCTAAATGCATCAAGTGCCGTCACTAGGGTTTCCAGAGATTCAGAAAGAATGGCAACATCATCAGCAAAGTCAAGGTCTGTAACCTTGATATTGCCCAGAGTTGCTCCACAGTGACTTTGGACAGTAGCTCTACCCAGTATACAATCCATGCAAGTGTTGAGAAGTGTTGGTGCACACCTGAACTAACAGGGAAGAAGCTCGAGAGGTCCCCACCACACTTTACAGCACTTTCAGTGCCTGTATACAGGTTTGCTATTAATCCAACAATCCTTGTTGGAATTCCTCTTAGCCTCAGGATCTCCCAGAGTGATTCGTGATGTACCGTATCAAATGCCTTCTTGAGGTCAATGTAAGCTGCAAGCAGCTCACGACTGAACTCACGACGGCGCTCTATAATGATTTGGAGCGCCAGGATACGGTCTATTGTGGACTTACTAGGAGTGAATCCAGATTGCTCTGGCCTTTGGTGCCTCAGCAGGTGGTCTCTGATACGCCTCAGTAAGATATGTGTGTGTATTTATGTATATCTGTATGTATGTATGTATGCATGCATGTGTGTATATATATGTATGTATGTATGTATGTATGTATGTATGTATGTATGTATGTATGTATGTATGTATGTATGTATGTATGTATGTATGTATGTGTGTATGTTTGTATGTCTGTCTGTCTGTCTCTATGTATGTATGTATGTAGGTATGTATGTATATATGTATGTTTGTATGTATGTTTGTATGTATGTATGTATGTATGTATGTATGTATGTATGTATGTATGTATGTATGTATGCATGCATGCATGTATGTATGCATGTATGTGTGTATATCTGTATATATGCATGTATGTATGTATATGTGTATGTAAATATGTATACATGCATGTATGTATGTATATCTGTATGTGTGTATGTATGTATGTAAATATGTATGTATATATGTATGCATGCATGTATGTATGTATATCTGTATGTATGTATGCATGTATGTATGTAAGTATGTATGTATGTATGTATATCTGTCTGTGTCTGTCTGTGTCTGTCTGTCTGTCTGTCTGTGTGTCTGTTTGTCTGTCTGTCTGTATGTATGTATGTATGTATGTCTGTCTATGTTTTTTTTTTATATGTCGACATTCTTCAAGATTATCTCAGTTGATAGAGATACACATCATGATTCATTGTACAATACATGGAAATGACATGGAAATATACTATAGCAGGGATTTGTCAACAGTATAAGTAAAAATGGAAGAAT